TGTATAGCCGCCAAACTTTTTTACCATGACAATTGTATGACGTCTAAACATGGAAACAAAGTGATTTCGACTGGAATCGTGTAAAATTTTGGTCTTTTTTCACGCATTATTCTACATAATACCTTCATGGAATGCAATGTAAATGTACTTTAGGTATGTAATACGCAAGCTCGGGCTATATTGACGTCAGACTTCAGGCATATATTCAATGATAGGGACATAATGGCTAAGAATTGTCACCAATTGATCTCTACTTATTTATATAAAATTGTTCATTTTGTAAACATTTTTTATCTAATGGACATTGTTACGTAATTTAATAACTATGTTCAAATTTTATTAAAGCAGTAGAACATTCATCCAACTCATTATCCTATCAAATGAAGTTGGGGAGGATATAGAGTATGCCTCTGTCTGTCCATCCATACTCCCATCTGTATGTACAATATCTAGTTATCTAGTTTGAATAAGATTATACGTAAAACCTTATTTTGCTTGTTTAAAAGAGAGCATCATCTATTTTAAATACTGTGTTGTGATTGGTCAAAGGTTTGAAAACTGTTTGGCTTTCAAATGTCCTTCCAAATAGGACTGTGGTCAGTCAGAATGAGCCTGGCATCTTGTTCAATAATTCAAAGAGAGTGTTGTTGTTAGAATGTGGAATTAACTGCTTCATATTGGTTTCAAGGTCAATTAGGTCCTTCCGTAAACTTTCTGTTTTTCAAGTTTTCCTGAACTAACAAAAAGGATTCTTGAAATTTAATTGAGAGCATTATGATCTGTTACAATGTTTTTTGATACCTGTTGATTTAAGTCTTCATTTACTGGGCAATTAATTGTTAGAAACATGTCTGTATGAGATTAAGACCTGGGGGTCATATCATACTTAAATGTAATTGTATATTTTTGCTGAAACATAAGTACATGTTTCTCTCTTAGAAACAGGGTTAATATTAGGCAGGGCAATTTATCTCATTCATTTGAGGTAAAAAGCATTGGAAATGTTGCGAAAATCTTAATGCTGATTTAACACCATTCAGTGTCTGCTTTCAAGTAATATATTACCTAATTGCAGTTCCTTGTAATTATTATATCTACGTGATATCATGATTCGATCTTGGTTACTTGTGAGTTGTGACACATCTTTGTTGCAATTTTAAGATCAACATTGTACATTATACAAGATACAAGAATATCTATATTTACCTTTTGTGTGGCACTGACTTTGTCAACTGGGTACCATGGCATTGGCATGTATATCTGGGGCTATTCTCTATTTATATTTACTGTTATCATCTAACACTGCCCTGGATGTAGATAAGCTCACTGCATGTGACTCTTCCAGACACACCTAGAAAGGTATTTTATATAATCAATGAATTTATGGTTTTTACGTAAATGTACTGTCTTATAGAAAGTGATTAAAACAGAATAGATCAAGTGGCTGATCATGACCACCTCCCTCTTCTAAATGTATGTGATGATGAATTGATTTTGTTAGAAATTGTAGAATGTTCTTAGGATGTTCTTGTTTTTAATGTTTAGTGAAATATCATTTCAAATGAGTTCAGATATCACTAACAAAGAGCCTTGTCCATTTTTAGTTCATTAGCCCCTACTATCTGATATTGATAATCTCCTTTGTGTTATGCTGTTCTTTATTGGGAAAAATTCTGAAATCTTCAAATGTTTGTATAAAATGGTATAGCCAACTTAATGCTTGTATATCAATGACTGGTGTCAAAGCTTTGTCTACTAGAAATACAGATGCTCAAAAATTAAGAGTACGATAATTTTCTTTAGATCTGTCCATCCGTTCCAGTAACAGTTTAAAATATTTAAATGGCTTGCCAAATGAATTAATGAAGTCACTCAATTTAATTTAAACTTATTGACATAATAAATGCAAATATTTTATGTATGAAGAATCAATTAGTGTAAATGGTATATGTGAACACTAATGTCTGGAGGGGCCTATATATGCTTTCATACTACTCCTTTTAAGAGATGCTCAGGTGTCATTCTCTTACTTAAAGCATCTTCTGTTTCACTAGACAAATGAGAAAGAATGAGATGTCATGGTTTATCATCATGCTCAGGTGTGGTAAGTTTTAGATCTTCTTCTATGAAACGTTTTAAACATCAGAGCATTAGATCAGCACTTTTAAGAAAATCATTATTTTATTTTACCTTGGGACTCTGATTTTACCACTCTGTTTTAGAAGTAGCATGACTTCCAAATAATCATGAACATGTTTGGGGAGAACCTGAAGCATAAAGCTATATAAGAGGGTGCACATTGTTAAGTGTACTATTCTCATTGTTACTTAAGTAAAGTGCTACAAAATAAAGTGACAGTCATTGATTTTCGTATCAACTCTTGGTGAAGTTTAGTATTTGCTAATATTATCAATGTTACTTCCATTTCATTCATTTATCTATTATCCCATACATGCTTTTCATACTGCCTACTGTTGATAGATGGCGGCTGTATACATCTGTATTGATCAATCCAGGTTATATCTAAACATCATGCCCTGGTAAATAAATTACTGTGCAATATATCTTGCATAAGCTCCCGCTCTTTACTCTTAAGTCTAATTTAGCATGGGATTCGGGCATTAATCGGACTTATCCATATTAAGTATGAGGTATTACATAGCATTTGCTAAAAAATCAATATAATTGATTGTGATCAGGTGATGCCCTTGGCAGACTGTTGCAGCTGCATTCTCCACCAATCAAATCTTTTCATTGAATGACGTATGGTAGACTCTTACTTTGCAGGGACTACATGCAGATTCTCTGTTTCTATAATGATGAATGAATGTTGCCTTGGTTTCATTATTTTGTACTTTAAAAGGATTATATAATGAAAATGAAAAATGCAGGTAATTCAGCAGGGTATGCTGAATAGATGACGTGTAGAATTAATAATGTTTACAAGTTAAAATGCCACAAAGAGCTTGAGGTTATAATCATTAGAATATTGAAATAGTTTTTATTGTTCCAAGATTGAAGGCATGTTCACATCTAATTCTTAAGTTTATGTATTTGAAATTTTGAATTAAAAAATAGGTGTGTGTTGCATACAGTGTTTGACGGTTTAAATCTTGAACCGTTTAAATTGTAACAGCGTAACAGCCGTATATTTATTGATAGGCTTATTCCGGTCTTACTCTCGGGTTATCAGTCGGTATGTCCTCTTACTCAAACCGATCATTTTGTAGTTTAGAATTCAACCAAAAGATGATATGATTAGCTCAGTGAGTTTATATTCGGTGCTCTCCCCAGGAATGTTTCTGTGTTGGAAGAATTTTAAAACAACATTTTCAAATTTTGGAATTTTTTGTGCAATATTTTAGTTTTTTGTAATTTTTCATGCAATATTTATGAATTTTAATGGAAGATTTTAGGAAGCACATAAAATATAGGAGTAGCATTTTTGTGCTATGGAGGTGCTGCGCCCTCAGAGATTTCAATGTGGATCGAAGCCCTGCCTATTGATATTGTTCATCAGTATTGTTTATTGATGAGATAAGAGTTTACATAGGATGTTCTATTTATCCCATAGTTCACTTAACTAAAACTAAACCAAGCATTACAAAACAACATTATTAATTCATTCATTTATCACTTGATGTCATCATCATCATAACAAAGCATGTCACATTAGCGGGAGGTTTGAAATCATGGAAATGTGATGTCTGTGGAATATTCTCCGTATTCCACAGATATTGCTTTCTCAACGCATTTGCAAAATTATAATAAATATATTTGCATGTTATCATACAGATTTTGCCTCAACTATGGGATAAACAACATTCAGAGAAAGTTCTTATGTTTTAGAAATATTTGCTGTCTGCTAAGAAATTGTTAATTAATGTCCAATTATCAACATTTTTGGAAAAAACTAAATTTTAAAATGTTGATTTTTCTTTCAGTTGCACTTTTCTATTGAATCCATCATTTATCACCTAACTAACAACTTTGCTATTTTTATGACTGATATACATGTAGCATCAATGCTTTGTTTAAAAATTCTTGCGCATCCATTATGAGATAAGAATATTTCAATCTGTTACAAAAATTAGATGTGTTTCATGTCAGAATGCCTTTCCTCTGGTATTGAAAGTTATATGTAATTTCTAATTAAGCGCCCAGTTGAGAAAAATTCCTATAAGTACACACCTTAATTAAACTAAAGCTATACTAAGCTTATCTATAAAAGGATTGGCCCATTTATTCTTATAACAGTTTTTCTAGCATGGGGTTAATTAAACCATAGATATTTCTACTGCTTTACTGCTCTCCATGTGTTACATGACATGCCTTACCAGGGCTGGTAAGGTCTATGTAATCCAATCATTGATATATCCGGTGCTCTACAAAATATATAAACTAAAATTAGACTTTATTGATTTTTTACCAATAAACCCTCAGTTGACATAAAAGGCAGATCAATCCGAGAAATGTTGCCTTGTTTTATCAAATATTTAAATTTTCTAGTAAATTTTCAATAAGAGGTCAATTTAGAAAAAGAATTTGGAAACCCTTGTTGAACCTTTTATGTCTAAATGTTGGTTTTATGAATGATAGGAGTTTACTATAGTTACTGCCCACACATGGCGGCCATCCCCAGGTGCTTTGAAGGCCGTGTCAGGTCTTGAGCAATCACTAGAATAATGAAATCATTTATTTCAGTAGTTAAAGTAACGCATAAGAATATGCCAAACTATTTATTTTTATAACTCAATTTGTCAGTACTTTATTTATGCAAGTTTGTATGTTGCTAGCTGGTCCAGTTATATAATACCAGGAGATTTGAGTGATTACTGTTATTAATAAGGATATCGATCAAAGTAGACCTGATGAATATTTTAACATAAAAGGTCACCTCCATGTCAACATGAAAAACTGTTTATTTTGAACTTTCTGCTAACTTCAGTTGCTAAATTCATGAGATAAGGTGATCATGTGAAAGGAATAGCTATATAAGATTAGAACACTTGAACTTGGGGCTCTGCATTGGTGAGAGCTTGACGTGGAGTGGAATTTTTTCTGACTCATTCATAAGACATGAAGACCCCTTATACTAAACACAAGCAATTTATGAATGAAAGGCTGCTGTGTGGCAGTGAGCTATTGTAGTAGAGCTTACACAGAGTGAAGTGGTGAGGGAATATGTGGCACTATGTTCGGGATTACGAAGTTATCCGACACACAAATAACATGAGACTACTACCACATTGGATGGAGTTTGCCCATAGGGAGTATTATCGTCCAGAAGGCCCTCCTCGGCCTGAACTCCTCAGTGCCAGACGTTACACAGGTATTTAACATGGCTACTACATGCATTTTAAACAACAGGAAGTGTGCTCTAGTTTATTTCATGTCTTGGTTTCTTTGTCAAAAGACATATCATAGATGAAGTCGTGAATAGAATTTTAAATTGAACATTGTCATATGTTAAAAGTTTGCATTTTTTGAGCTGGAGGCTATTTTAAGAACTATTATTGGACCGGATGTGTGGGAGTTGGGTGGTACTTGTTAAATCAATATATACTGACTGGGAATTAGGCTAACCTTGGATAGACATACAATAGACTGCAGGCATATGATTTGATTTGTAACAATTTATTGGCTATTTTAACTCCTATCTTGACCTTCTAGGTGGCAGGTTTAGGCTAAAATGATATGTGTACTTTGTAATATTACATGTTTCTCATTTATCATTCCTAAAAATACATTAAAAATGACAATGACGTTGCTAGTTTGTGTCTGTATGTTCACTAAAAATCATGTGATAATATGACTTCTCGATGGGATATTTTTTGCTAAGATGAGGCATTATGCTCCTTATTACACTGAGCTGTAATAATGTCTGAAATGTCAGTCTATATATTACATAGAAAATGATTGAAATAATGAGTGATCAATTTCTACAAATGGAGTATATTTTGGTGACCATTCATCTAACATACTTTTAGTCTAAAACTAATAAAGAAGTTTCTGAATCACATTCACTGGGTAAGATACAAATAAAATTCTCTAAAATTCTATAGAGTCAATCCCTGAGGCCTGTCAGCTATACACTTTTGGAGAATGCAAAATTGAATGGGAAATGCTATAATATACAGATTCAAACCTTTTCCAGTAGTTTGATTTTGATTCTTAAAAGAGAGCTTCGTCTGCATGTATATTAGACTCTGACACTCAAGGTAACATAGACCAATCCTCTTCCTCAATTTTTAACACTAATCAACAAAACAAGAATAATTATATAACATGCACATATGATATAGGAATATTGTCATTTCAGTAATACTATGGGAATATACTGCAATTTTTGAATTATCTTGATATATTAAACTCCTTCCGAGTCCCTTTTATGTAAAATCAAAGGTTGAAAACGAAATATTTTCTGTAAACGAAATATTTGTCAATAAAATTAAGAATGTGAGTGAATCATGAAAAGGGTGGTAGCTGAACACGATCACACTTTATAGTGTAAGGTTGAGGCAACTTTGATTAGGATCCAAAAAGTACACATAAACCTACTGGTCTTTGGGAGATAAATTACGGAGCATATACAAACTGTATAGACTATACAGGAAACTGCAATGCAGACCAGACTTAAAGGGAAGAATGTGCTTGGTTAAATGAAGATCCAGCTAGGTTATAAGTACCTGTTTTAGCAACATCAGACAAGTTATGAGTCTTTTGGAATACCATATCTACTCGCCAATATCGACTGATCTGTTTTAGTGAGAAAACAAAAAATGTCAAGAAATGTCACTGAAAGATGATCATTTTTTGCTTCCTTTCCCTTTTTAATTTCCAGGTTTGTTACTGAAATAAAGAGTGTTGAAAACAGTAACAGTGCATCTTGTTGATTCTTGTTATTGTTATTAACGTTTATTATGAATTTGAAACATACAAGTTGACGTCATAATGTCAATTAAAGTATTTTGTCCTGGCTTTTGGTCATATTATTTTTACTGATATGATTATATATAATTGTTGTTATTGATATGTTATGCAAGTAATTTTGAGAAAGAAAATAAGATGAATACCTGTAATATTAGAAAAATCAAAAAATTCAAGGTAGGTGCCAAATTTTTATATAGAAATGATAAATAAATAATATATTATTTATATTATATTATAAACCATATATTTTCTACTGCTCCAAGATGAAAGAAACAACCTTATTGCAGGCCTCCATACTTACAATTTAAGCGACTTGTTTAATAATTACAACTTGAATGATAAATTACAATTTTTAGTTTTCGGAAACACTAACTTACGATGAACTAACTACAATGAATGAAGCTTTAATTCATATTGTTAGCTACTATATACATACAAGTCTTGTTTTATTATCTATCTTGTAGTAATTAAACAAGTTTTTTTCTGCATTGACCAACATCTTCGTCAACTTTTGTTAACATCCCGGCCTATGGGATAACCTTCTGGGATTTTGGACTATAAAAACCAAACAACCTTTTTATTTTATATCTAATAATTGCAAACTATACATATTTATATATTAAATTGCCGCTAATGTTGTAAAACCTTGGCAATTAGCTAATTGAAATCGATTGTAATTGTTATCCCACCGAACGAAGTTCGAGGGGGATATAGAGAAGCCGTCCGTCCGTTCGTTTGTCCGTGTGTCCGGGCGATAACTCCAATACCGGTTGACGGATTTGGTTCAAATTTTATAGGCTTATGCCTTATGAGTGTAGAACCTCTGCTCGAAAAGGAATTTTCAATATGGCCGCTCAATTCAAAATGGCCGCCATTTTTCGTAAAAATGTAATCGTTGATAACTCAAATACAAGTTGACGGATTTGGTTCAAATTTTATATGCTAATGCCTAGGGACAAAGGAGTTTCGCACAAAAAGAGATTTTCAAGATGGCCGCTTAATTTCAAAATGGCGGCCATTTTTCGTAAAAATATGTTATCTTTGATAACTCAAATACCAGTGAACAGATATGGTTGAAATTTTATATGATTATGCCACAGTAGGGACACAGTAGCTCTGTTCAAGAAATAATTTTCAAGATGGCGGCTGAATTTCAAGATGGCAGCCAATTTTCGTAAAAAACGTAATCTTTGATAACTCATATACCAGTGAACGAATTTGGTTCAAATTTTATATGATGATGCCTCGTTCACAATGGTATAAACTAACTTTGTGCCAAATTTCATGCTTCTATCACAAAGTGCACAAACATTTCAACATTTACCTAGCTATAATAAGCATAATATGTTTTGTTCGGTGGGATTTGCTACTCCGTGGAGTTGCTGTTTTTCTAGTTTATATTAGAAATAAATTGATAACATGAAAAAAATGTATACCTGTCCTAGATTCCCTGGGAGTTATTTTGGTGAGGAAGTTATTGGTTATAAACATGTTTTCTTGTTTCCTGATAGGTAACTTGAGTTGTATATTAGACTAGCCATCTCATGGAATACAATGGTGAAAAGATTTATTAAAGATTTATATCTATTGTTTGTTGGTTTGTTTTTTCCACTTTTATTTTTTATTTAATTAAAACTGTAGTGGTAAAACACTCTGTTGTTTAAAATGAGCTATAAAGCAATAAATGTTTAAACAACTGTGCTAAAATACTTGATAATAGAATAGTAGTAGAATATGTGCAAACATATATGGAGAAAAAGAATTAGGTTAAGAAAACCTTTGATAGCCACTGTTATGCTTAAGACTATTGTACTTTGTTGTGCTAAGGAAATGTTGTGACAATAAGTATTAAATTAAGAATATTACCTAAAAATTATACTAAAAAATATTGCTATTCTATTAGAACCGTTCTATTAGCCAAATGATGTTGTGCTAAGTATTTGTGTGCTAAAAGTGTTGAGTTAAGGTTTGTACAGATAATATATAATGTATCATGTAATGCATATGTGAAGTAAAATCACTAAAGTTTATAACCAGCGAAGTGATTACGTATTCTTTTAATCTATAGTTTTTCATCCCAAATTTTTTCACTTCACATCAAACAAAGAAAATGAAAAGTAAAATATAAATTTTTTATGCCTTTTCATGAGAATTATTCAACACCCGTGGTTATTTCTAGCTGCTGATAGCATTCATTGGTATGTATCCTTTAGCTTATTAAAAACCAATGCCATTTGTTATTGAAGAGTCCGTGTAGACCTATAACAGGATATTGGCAAGAGCTATGACGCAAATGCAGCAATTAATACATCAGTCAAGGTATAGGGACAATGTCGTGATGCTAGCTTACATTTTATATAAACCTGATAATATACTTCCTTTTTATTAACCTTTATCAAATATGCCATGGGATATAACCAAATGGATTTGAATTGTCATTGTTCTTCAGTAAAATGTTACAAACAATTGTCACAATGAAAAATATATGTATCTGCTTTGCTGGAATAAGTTCATGGAATATTAATTGAAAATACTAAAAATACTACCTCCATTCATCTTTGGTTAAAATATATTTGTGATTTGTGAGTCTCATACTATGAAATATAGACATTTCTTGACCTGGATATCTGCATTTTTATTATTCACCTCATTGAAATTCTTCATTCTGATTGGTTCATAGCTGTTCTGTATTTTACCATATATATCATGACAGGCTATTTAAATCTTGGCACTTCCTGCCACGGAATATAAAAATATCATCATAAACTCGAATTCATATGTGTATAATTTCTGAGGTATATAACAAATCATTTGTTACATGTACTTTGTCAGAATAAATGAATATTAATGTTTTTAGGAAACCTCATTCTGATATTCATTGCATTTCTTTTCTAACTACGGAAATGAATTTGTAATGAATCAAAGTGATGAGATTGTATGGTTGTTGTTTTGCTAGTGTATATTTGTTTTATATCACAATGGTAGTCTGGTAAGAGCCAAGTCATATGGCATATTGGCCCTCATCTATGTAATACAGGCCTGTCAACTGTCCCACATTTCGCATATTTGTCAAATATTTGCTGAAGAAATTAGTCGCATCAGTTTTTGTGTGACAGAATATGTCACGTAAATACGCATTTTTCCTGATTATTGTCAAGCAAAAATATTTCTGAAAGAACATAAAAAAAAACGAATGCCGGAACATAAAAAATGAACATGAATTTTCATGCTAATTGCACATTTGTCACACGTTTGCTTTGAATTTTTTTGTCCCTACCCCCTCTTCCCTTGAACCTCTAACCCCCTATTACTTGAACCTCTAACCCCCTATTACTTGAGTCCGAAGACATCTATGGAACTATGTGTTTCCCTGTTAGTTACTCATCTTGTATCAAGACC